CTTCCACGAGTGTTGATAGTTGATCCAAAAAGAATGAAGTCCTTGACAACTTCAATCTTTTCTCCATTGATAAGAATGCTGCAGTATAGGGACTCCTAATTCAAAGCAAATATTAAAACAACTGGCTATGGATCTAAATGCAAGGCTTGAAATCTAATTGTCCTTGTCTCAGAGAGATTGGGAGTGGATGAGAGATGTAATGGTTGTGATATATAAGAAAAGATTTCTAGGAAAATATAAAATATTGTTATTTAATTAAACATGTAGAGTTCTATAAAATTCAAAATTTTTAATTGGAAACCACTTGTACAGAATAAGCACTGAAAGGTAACATGGGTAACCAAAAACTCATGATATGATTAAATAATAGGTTTGTAGTCACATTCTGGTTTCCGTTTCTAATACTTTAATACCTATTTGCAATAAAGAAAATTTCAAAATAAATAAAAATTATATATATATATAAAGGACCTGATTCATACTAGGCACTCAAAGCTATACAGCTGTCCAGATAGTAGGTAGAACACAGATGTCCTAATTCCTCTTCTGAACTGTGGGAGAGTCCATATCCACCTCATTTATGGAGAGCAGAGCTCTATTCACATTGTAGATTTCTGTGACTGTACAAGATCTTCTTCTTCTCCAGACATTAATCTTGACTGCAGAGGGTTACAGAACCCAAGAGAATGCTTTTTCAAGTGTTGTAGAGACAGTTACGTTTGACATAATAGTTACCTAAGCATTTATCAAGTGTCAGGTAGTGTGCTGATACAAAAACAAATAAGCAATTGTCTGACCTCTAAACACTTTATCTGTGTACTTGTCTAGAAATAATACAGAACTTACATTTTAAATATGCACTAACAATACAGTGAGCACAAAAAGGAGCAATATGCACAGAATCATAGAATAACACTTTCTGGGAAATAAAGAACTAGAACTTAGTCATATAACATGACTCAAGTTGTGTGCCTGGGAAAGAAAGTTAAGGGCAATGGAAAAGTATCCCAAGTACAAGAAATAAATTAGCAATGGCACATAGGAATAAACTAGCAGGGTATGTGGGGAATTGTAAGTCATTCTATATTTATGAAGCACTAAGTATGGGGAGGAGCCCTGGTGTGGTGCTGCAAGAAAATGAACATCAAGGTCAATTTGAACTACAAAGTCAACGCTTTAAACCCATAAGTCACTCTTTGAACACCCGATATAGGGTCACTATGGGTCAGAACAGACTCAATGGTACTTAACAACAACAGCATGTATGGAGAGGAAGGAGTCCTGATGGTGCTGTAGGGTAAGTAATGGACTGCTAGCCTCAAGATTGTTACTTCAAACACAATGGCCATTCCTTGGAACAAATATGAGGCTGAACAGGGGTGCGCTGGTGTCAGGGGCACCAGGTGAACCTTCCATGGTGGGACTGTTCTCCCACCCTCCCCATCTACCACCCTCCCCCATATTCCACCATCCTCCTCATTAGGGCAGCCGCCCTCCACAGGCCTAGGATGGGTCATCTGTCCTCAGTACCCCGGGAAGGGTCATGCCATCTGGCAGCATGGGGTAGAGGTCCAGAATAAATGTTAAGACAAAAACCAGCATAATATCTAAAGATCGCCATGATGATGATTAAAGGGTCAACTGAACAAGATAATGTAACCATAAAAATATCTACATTCCCAATGAAAGAGCTCCAAAATATATAAAGCAAACCCTAATCTATTTGAAGAAAGAAATATATAAATCTATAATAGTGGGAGATTTTAATATATCACTTTGGAAAAAGGATAGAACAACCAGAAAGAAAATCGACAAAGACACAGAGAAACTAAACAACACAATCAGCTAACTTGACTTCATAGATGTGTACAGAATATTCAATCCAACAACAGCACAATACACATTCTTTTCCAGTGCACAAGGAACATTATCCAGAAGAAACCACATATTAGGCCAAAAAAAAAAAAAAGCCTCTAAAAAATGTACAAATATCAAAATACT